AAAAAAAAAAAAAATTCTCACAAAACAAGAAAACCACGAGTGACCATCCCTCTGAGGGTGATCTGAAGGAGAGCTCAGGGGACCTGTCCCAGCCTGTCCTCCTCTGGGCCACACCCTTCTGTGGCCGGGGTGGGCGGGCAGTTCTCACGGCCATGGGCCTCTCCCTGGGTCAGGGTGCTCCTGTGCCAGCCCAGGCCCCCCAGACAAAACTTCACTGCCCACTGAGGGCTTTTGTCTTTGCCCCCAAAGCCACACCATCTGTCAGCCCTGGTCTTCCCGGTGAGGGGAGTAGAGGGTGCCGGTGAGAGACTTGGGGCCCCTGCTCAGATCTGGCCTGCTGCCAAGGCCCCTGCCCGTCCACTGCAGGCTGGTCATGTGCTGGCTCCAGGCTGGGGACACCAAGGCTGGGAGGGCCCTGCTACCTTCAGAGCTCAGGGTCTGCCTGGAGGGGAGGGTGCCGCTTGCTGGGGGGGAGCAGGCTGAGTGGGTGGGAGCAATCCAGTGGATTTAGGGTCATGAACTCGGCCTCCACACCTTCCTAACCGAGCAGTACCACCCCCGGGGTCTGAATGCAGCCCTCTTCCTCCCTAACCTGCTGAGGCCTCTAGCCTGGGGTGCATTACCCCCTCGAACTCGGGGTTTCAGGGACCATTCCTACAGTCTGACCCCCTACCCAGCCCCCACCCCCAGCTCTACCCCCAGCTCTGCCCACTCAAGCTGTGCTCCAGGGGCCTCGGAATGTTCCACACACCAAGCTCAGCATCCTCCCCCTGCTCCCTCCCCAGCTTCCCAATAGGCTCACTGGACACCTCTTGATGGCCCCCTCTTCCCCTAACGCTGTCGCACCTTCCCCTGCAGGCCACCACCTGGGCTCCCTCCTATCTCCCCCTCCCAGATCCACACCCTACACCCTGAGCCCAGGCCTGCTACTCCCATGCAGGAAAGTCAGGCCTCAGGTGAGTCCTCATCTCTCTGCCTCCCCAGCCCAACTCTCTTGTGACTTAACCAGCCCTTGGTGTGAAATACCAGGACAGGACCATGTCTCGCACATTCAGACCTATGGCTGAATTCACCTTCCCACCCAAGAATCAAGCGACTTATGCCCCCTTCCCCAGTGTGCCCCTCCTCCCCTTCTCCGTGGCACTGAATGGAGCCATCACTTACCCAACAGTTCAGGAAAGCCCTCAGCATCCCCTGGACTTCCTCCCTCACCCCAGTCCCATCCACCTGCAAATCAGTGGCTCTGCCTTCCAGACAGGTCCACTGCCAGGGCCCCACCCACTCCCCCAGGCTACACCCCAAACACTGGCCATGCCCACATGCCACACCCCAACAAGGCCACACCCCAACACTGGCCACACCCACAGGCCACACCCCCAACACTGACCACACCCACTCCCACAGGCCACATCCCTAACACTGGCCATGCCCACATGCCACCGCAACAAGGCCACGCCCCCAGCACTGGCCACACCCCCAACACTGACCACACCCACTCCCACAGGCCACATCCCTAACACTGGCCACACCCATGCCACCGGCCACACCCCCAATACAGGCCACACCCACAGGCCACACCCACTTCCACAGGCCACACCTTCTCCCAACCAAACCACACCCTTTCCCACCCGGCCACGCTGCTCCCCATTTGTCCTGACACCCCACTTTGTTGACCTGCCCCAAACACTTCAGAAATGTCCCTCCTTTGCTTGAACACACACACGTATCCCCTCCATGCCACAGCCCCTCGCCACGCTGTCTCCCATCTGATCCTCTTCACCTGGGTGCCCCCCATGCCCACGGCCTCTCTCCTGAGGCCTTCCCTGACCCATCCCCCAGCTCTGTCTTTCTCCCTGGCACTGAGGCACTGCCCATCCCCTGACAGTGCCTGTTTATCAGCTCAGGGTCTGTCTCCCCTTTAGAACATGGCCGTGGGAGGGTGTGCTGCGCCCCCTTGCCAGTGCCAGGCACAAACTGGTGACCCAGGGCAGCACTAGCCGGCACCCCATGACCCCACCTGGCAACAGATGCAGGGACCAGAGGTCAGCCCCACCAACGCACACACCTCCTAAGCCAGGGAGGCACATCTGTCTGCGCAGCCAGCACTTGCTGGGGCTGCTCCAATCTCCCACTGCCCAGACCAGACACAGCAGCCCCTGCCTGCAGGGGGGTCTTGGGGGTCTGAGTTTCATGTAATACGAGGGTACTTGGAAAAGCTTGTGGTGAAACAGCACGGAAAAATAATACGCATCTCCCATGAGCTTTTGCAGGGCCGTGTATCGGCGCTTTTCTGTACAGGGACTGGAGGAAGCTGTGCCTTTGTTTGTTTTTCATCTTTGTTAGACATTTTCACGTAAACTTACAAACCAAGTCAGACTTTTTGATACTAACTCCTAATGTTTTGATTCTGGAAATGTGCTCAGGAAAGGAGGGGCAGGGCTGGGACCCTCCATCCCGTCCCTCCTGCCCAAGAGGCACAGCTGGGCAGGAAAACGGGGGGGCCCTGAGCAGCAGAGGAGGAGCTTGATCGAGAAACGACCCAGGCCCCTAGACTTCAGACGGACCTCATTTCTCCCAGATGGGAACGTTTTGGCCAAAAGCAGAGGTGGAAACGCCTGTGTGAGCAGAACAGCTGGCCTGGCTGCAGCTGGCACACAGGCGCTCAGCAGACATGCCGGGCAGGTGCACGAGGGAGGACACCGCGTGCCCTCTCCCGATGCTACATGTCACATGGTCGCACCAGCCCGGCGGGCAGCGCTTCTCTTACCCACGGCGAGCCCCACCAGGCGGTAGGGGAAGAAGCAGGAGGCCAGGAAGGCAGCCCACAGCGCCACGTACAGCTTCTGCGTGATCTCGGGCTGCACCCACATGAACAGGCTGCAAGGAGACGGGCGGCTCAGGCGGGGCGGGGCGCACCCGGCCCAGCGCTGGGGGCCCCGACTTACTTCTTGATCTTCTCCAGGATGTCGGCCATCTTGCCAAAGAGGTTCTGTGTGGGAAGAAACCGCGATGACGCAGACCCTGTCGCCACCCAGAGCCGGGGTGCCCGCCACCCCAGGCCTGGTCCGAAGCAAAGGGGACCGCACTTGACCCAGCTGGGAGGGGCTCCTCTCCGCACAGGGCAAAGGGCCGCTCCCCCAACTCGGAGGGGTTGGTAGTAACATCTAAGAGCGGGCAGGGTGACTGCAGGTGCTGTCCCCACCCCCACCCCGGGCACTGGCCAGGCCTGCGTGGAGACGCCTCTTAGCGGGAGCCCAGGGACAGTACCTGGGCTTTCTGAGCGACGTCCAGCACCAGCTGGAACTTCTCGGACACAGTCAGATCTTCCTTTGGAGGTTCCTTCAGTCAAAGGGGAAAGAGAATTTTCCACTGAAATTTAATAGTTCAGAAAAATTACTGACAACACAGCATGAAGGCCTCCCAGCCCCAGGGACCTGTGGGTCACTCTGCTGTCCCTGCACAGCCAGAGGGGATGGGACCCAAATGCGAGGATCACACCCCTCTGGGCTGATGGTGAAATCTCCCTTCGTGCTCACCCCAGGCTCCCAAGAGGGAGGTCAGCAGAGCAGCTCCCACAGTGGCTGAGCTGAGGCTCTGACTCTCATACACAGCAAGATGCGTCTGAGAGACCACCTAGCACCCGGCTCTCTCACCTATAGGCAGGGAAACTGAGGTCCAGGCCAGTAAGGGCCCAGCCTTCTCAAGCTTGTCTGAGTTCACACATTTCCCCATTCAGTAAGAACCTCCAGAGGGGGGCTGGTCGGTTAGCTCACTTGGGACAGCGAGGTGCTGTTAACACCAAGCTCAGGGGCTGCAATCCCCGTACCAGCCAGCTACCAAAAAAAAAAAAGAAAAAGGACCTCCCAAGTGCCAGGGCTGGGTGGGCACCAGCCCGCCTCCTCTAAGTCACCTCCCTGACCCTGTGTGTTCCGTGCACACAGGAGGAGCTCAAATATCTGACCAGGCCCAGGGAAACACTGTGGCCTCCCTTCTGCCCATGCCTGCTGGTTCTGCCACGGACCAGAGTCTCCCTCTAGAAAAAACTTCTGAAAAGGGCCAGGTTGTGCATATTTTTGGCTTTTCTGGCCATGTGGTCTCTGTTACAGCTATTCAACTGTAGCACAAAAACAGCCATTCGTGTAAATGTTTGGGCATGGCTGTGTGCCAATAAAACTTTATTTACAAAACCAGGAAGTGGGCCAGATGTGGGCTCCAGAGTCCCAGGAGGGAACACATCTACTTGTCCAGCCCACTGTTCACCTCCCCACCCGGGGAGGCTGTGGGGGTTACAGTGGTCGTCCAGCCACACCATGTCACATCCTAGACGGGAAGGATCACCTAGCAGGCCAAGGCAGGGCAATCTGCCTCTCACGCAGCCCTCCCAGGTCCTCTCCTCCCCAACTCTTCTTGCCCGGGCCGGGCTCCTGCCGGGCATGCACACAGCACCCCCATGGTGTAAGCCTGACCCAGTGGAGACAGATGGAGAAGACCCTTCGCCCTCCCAGGACTTACCACGGCTTCGGACACTTCGGGCACAATGCTCCACTGGATCCTCCAGCCCCTGGCAGACAGAAGCAAGCACACAGCTCTAGAACAGTGCTGTCCGCAGGCGGTGCAGCCAGGGGACAACTCAGATCACCAGCCCTGCACTCCCAGCTGGGGAAGCACGGGGAGAAGGGCCCCGAAACCCCCAGCCGCTTGCCTCCCAGACCACCAGGGCCACTCTCCAGCTCCTCCTCTGGGGGCCCTCCTGAGGGAGGGGACACATTTAAAGTCAGCCAGAGGTGAGGGGAGAGAAGCCCTTCAACCTATATCAGCTGAAGCAGCCACAGCAAGTGCTTCAGCTAATCCTGCCTCAGCTCTGGGGACTACTGACTCCTCCAAGGGTACTTAAATGTTTTTTACACAAAACATTTTCAAATGAGCCAACTTGAATGGGCACAGAAAGCACCTGGAAAAGTGAGCGCACAAAAGTGCCAACTCTCGAACAGCTGTGTAAAGGTGTGGGGTCGGGGCTCAGGTCTCCAGCCCTGGCACAAAGCTGAGGTTCACTCCTCAGGGACAACCGTGAGTTAATGCAACAAGGGGTGCACCTGAGCGTGGGGGTTTGCCCAGAGAGGTCACGCCGCTCAGGCGTGGAGGTTGTCATGCAGGTGCGCTCTCTGCAGACCACTCACACTCTGAAATCCCGCTCCTCACCAGCATTTCCCTGTCACAGCAGACGCCCGGCATGAACCTTCAGTGACCCACCCGCTAGGGCTGGGGACAACTTTCCTGTGTGCTGGAGTGACCCTGTGGCTGGCACTGGTGGCCGTCCAGAGAAAGATCTGCTGGCAGCATGGGAACTACCTGCTGCTGCCCCAGCAAACCAGGGAGCATGTGGCCATCCTGCCTGGGGGTTTCCAGAGCCTGGCAGAGGACAACTCCCCAAACGCCAGTGTGCGACACACCCATCTTGCACCACAGTTTCATGTACAGGGAGGCAGCAGAGTCATGCACATGGCGGGTAAAGCAGCCACGCCGCATATCAGCTCACCTACCTGGCTATGAGGTAATTGAGGGACAGCCTCAAGATTGCTAGAAACAGGAACATGGGGACAGCCCAGCCGTGCCACACGGCATTCATGTACACCTGCAGCAGAGGGGTCGGAAGGCAGATGGTCAGACAGTGCGTCCCTCCCTCCTCCCCTACCCGGCAGGGCTCAGCGGGGACCTGGCCCCTGCAGAGCTCCACACACTTGGGAGGAGGCCGGAGAAGGGCCGCTTCCTCGGCAAGGGCTGCTGGTGGGAGAAAGAAACCCACGCAGAGCGGTGGACGGGGAAGCTGCCCTGCACGGGTAGGGAACGACTTGTCCCGTGGAAGCAGCTGCTGCACACAGCAGCCAGGATCAGAATAGGAGAGTGTCCCCACATGGGGTCCCAGCCTGCCCCAAGGGGTGGCTTCCACGCACTGCACTCGGCCATCACCAGGGCTCAGCACGGCTGAGGGAGGCATCTGACCACTGGCTGAGAACATGCCAGTAAATTTCCACCAGGGCCACCTTCACCCTGGGCCCCACCTGTGCCCAGTGCAGAGCAGATGCTCAGGGAGGGGCAGGGAATGGAATCCCACTGAATTCAGCGGAGTCCTGGAAGGTGGGTCTGAACTGTGTGGCTCATCTCTTGGCAGTAACAGACCCAGACAGTGTAGAGGTATCTGAGGCCCCGCACGGCACAGCGCCTGTGAAGGGTGGCGCCACCCCAACCTTCATCTGTGAATGTGCAAAGTGCCCCACCTCCCAGGTGGACAGTGAGTCCCTGGGGCAGGCACCCGTCCAAGGGCTTCAGGGACTTGCCCAGAGAGCCTGATCTGTGGCCAGAGCAGTTCTCAGTACCCTCCATGCTGTGGCCATCTGAGGGACCTCTCCAGAGATGGGGCCCACTTGGCAGGACGGTGCTGCCTGTGGGAGCTTTGGAAGATGCCCAGGGCTGTGGCCGCCCCCTCTCTGGTGGTGGGGGGCAGCCTGCATCCTTCTCACACCACAGAGAAAGGCAGGAGGGTCTTCCTGTGCATGGTGGGGACAGCTGCTGTAGGACAAATCCCAGCAGGGTGGGCTGTGTTCCCAAAGCCCTGGCAATGCCAGCCCCAACGTCCTCTTGTCCCTTCCCAGGACTGGTGAGTCACAAAGGCTAGGCTGGATCCCCCACACTACGCTCCTTGTCAGGAGGCTCCAGCGCCAGAAGCTCCGTGGGTGGGGCCTCCAGTCCCCCAGGGGCAGAGGAGGTTTGCAGCCGTCACCCTCTCCCCATCCAACACAGTAAACCAAACGGTAAGCGTGCCCAGAGCCCTTTCCTGAGGACACTGCTGTGAGCCACATGCCTGTTCAGGGACCCACACCCAGCATCTGCGATCCACATGACAACTCCACAGCTAGGAGGGACATCCCTGTACCCAGTTTACAGATGAAGAAACTAAGGCTGAAAAATACTCCTTGGACCGGAGGAAGTGCTGCCTGGGAGGCTGTCCCCCAGCTCGGCACCACACCCACCCTGCCCTGTGAGGAGCCACTCACGGTGAAGGCGATGGCAGATGTGTAGACGGAGTACCAGTCGGATAAGGCAGAGAGGTTCTTCACGAAGTTGGTGACAGGCTTGGCACCTCGCTCTGGGGACACAGCACACCCCGCATCAGCCCCACTGTCCACCCAGCAGGCAGCTCCAGCTGTCCCCCAGGTGCACCTGCAGGGTCAGGCTGGACCCAGCTTGACGCAAAACCGAGAGGAGCCGCATCAAACCCGAACCCAGGCAGCTCCCGGTGCGCCTGAGCCGAGGCCAGTGCCCCTGCCGGCACCGTCCGCTGTCCTCGCAGGGAAAGGCCATCTGCCCCTCCCCCATGTGGTGTCTGCAGGATGAGTTTCATTCACATCCCCTGGGGCCCAGGAGTATCTGAGGAAAGCACAGTTTTTCATCCCAAATGCTGGGCTCCACCCTCTCCCAGCCCCTGGTGGGACAGTGTCCCCTGCAGGCTTCCAACACGAGCCTTTCCCAAAGGAGGGCTGGGGCAGGAGCCTTCCTTGAGAACCTCTTTCTAGGGAGACGTTCAGTTCAGCTCACGACCCCAGAATCCCTGCGCCAGACACCCCCACCCCCACCAGGCACAGTGGGCACCCCTCACCCACACCAGGTACCGCAGGCACCCCTCCACCCCCACTGGGCACGTGGGCACAGCCACACAAAGCTGCTTGCACTTACTTAGCCGTCTCATGTTCTCAGTTAACCTAGGAGAGAGGGGAGAGAGATTAGCACCTGGTGTGAACTCATCAGCCAGCCCTATGTGCCACGATGCCCACACCCTGCTGGCACGCAGGGAGCAGGGAGGACATCCGAGCTCCGGGGACCCCTCAAGTGCAAGGAACACACATGTACGGCGACACAGTACAGCACTGAGCGCCACAATGTCCCTCATCGCTGCTCCCTAAGTCAGGAAGGCAGGGGCGACTCGAATACAGAATGGCCTCCTTGTCCCTGCTCATCTGTCTTTGAGAGCAGGGGACTTGCCAGTCTGGCTCTCCTGGGGACTCCAGGACCTAGGACAGCTTGACAAGGGGAGCTGGTGTTTACTGACCAGGTGCACGAAACAATAGACCACCCGCCTGACACAGGGAAGGCCCCTGGGCAGTGGGCACTTGGCCCTGGGCCCACACAATGTTTGTCACAAAGCACAGCGAGGCCAGAGCAGCCGCGATGTGGCTCTGCTGCCCTGTCCTGAGGACCCCAGCTGGCCTGCAGCCCCCTGCCCGGCTCATGCCCCAGGAACACAGCACCGCGGGGCGTCCATGCAGCCACATTGGCAGCTTTGTCTCCATGACACAGGCTGGCCTACCCACTGGGCCTCAGTGCAGGGGCCGGGCCCGACACACGGCTGCCCCCGCCCCGGGTTGGCACAACGTCCCCACCTGCGGGCACTGAGGGGCTCCTCGGCCTCCACGGTGTTCTCCTCGGGCTGGAACCGGAAGTCCTCCACGTACTCCCCAAACTTCTCGTAGAACCACTTCTGGACGCGGGAGGACAGCCCCTGGCCCCGTCGGTCTGCGGGAAGGAGGCAGAGGCCTGGTGAGGAGCACGACAGGGTCTGGGGCTAGTGACTGGGATCTCGGGGCAGGGAGGGGGCCTCCCGGCAAGGGCCCGGCCAGCGTGGGCACAGGAAATGCTCGGAGGGGTGGGGGCCTCCCTATGGAGCTGGGAAATGAACGGGTCCATGCCAGAAGGGACGCTGAAGGACTCGGCTCTTAAAGACACGAGGTGCAACCAACAAACGCAGACCAGAGCTGCAGCCATAAACACCTGGCAGGGGTCTCTGCTCTTCTCACGCCTGACCCTTAGCAACCTGCACATCCCAGGCCTGGAGTGAGCTCACAGCGGTTTAGTGCTGGTGATTTACACTCTGTTTACCAACTGCTAAGGCCTTCAAGAAATCGACCCATGTCACAGAAAACCAGGAAGAATCCTGCCCCTCAGGAGCACAGCAGTGCAGACCAAAGCGGGCCCCTTCAGAAAGCACGGTGTGGAGTCGCCTGCAGGGGACACTGTCCCACCATAATTTAGGGGAGTGGGCTGGAGGCAGGTGGTCACCGAAAACCCATGTGCTGCGGGCTCAGGGCAGAAGTTGAAGGACTACAGGCCAAGAGGGGCTGAGGCCATGCACCCTGAGGTCACCCAGGCCCGGGAGAGAGCTGAGCTGCCTGGGAGCGTGGGACAGCCTCCCAGGGGCTTCTTCTCACACCCCAACTGGAGCCTTGCAAGATTTTAAGGTGACAGTCTAGTCGGAGTTGGTAATCTTGCCACAGCAGCCACAGAACGGGCATGGCTATGTTCCCACGGAACTTTATTTATGGACGCTGGAATTTCAGATTTATGTAACATTCACATGTCACAAAATAATCTTCTTTTGGTTTTTTCAACCATTTAAAAATGTAAAGCCAGACAGGGAGCTGTAGTTTGCAGACCCCCAGGTCCAGGGAACGTGCACCCACTGCTTAAGCAGAGCTGGCTCCCCCTCCTGAAGCCCACCAGCCTGGCCCTGCGACCAGGAGGAGGTGCGTCTCTTTGCCCGGCCCGTCAGGCTAATTCCTTGGAGGAAATGCAAACCCCTGACACCGCCTCATGCCCAACAGCTTTCCACAACTGGCTCCTGTCACTGGGACTGAGGCTGACCTCCCTCTGTGCTTCTGTTCCACTTATCCAGGGCGTGGCACGAGCGTCTGTCCCCACTCCTGGTGCTCCCGGTGGGTCCAGCACCAAGGTGCCTGGGAAAGAGACACACGCCACCTTCCCCTATGGAACGCAAGCTTGCCGAGCCCAGGGCAAGGCTCCTCTGGTCCAGGCTGGGCCTCTACTGGGCCTTCCCTCCCGGGGCCACAGTGGGATCTATACCGGGTGGGATTGAAGCCAGTGACCTAAGCCCCTTCTGGTTTCAGTCTCTGGGCTCCACCGGCACAGGCAGGGAGGTCCCTGTGCGTGGTCAGCATGGGGGCAGGGGCACAACCTCCAAGGTGCACAGGACTGGGCCCAGGAGAGCCGAGTGCAGGTTCCGGCTGTCCCCTCACTGTTCTCTGAATGACAGTTTTAGAAGCTACGGTGTGGAGTAAGATAAAGACAATGCACTCAGGGGTGGGAAGCAAAGATAAGAGGAGAGAAGAGGGCACTGTCTCCTGGACCAGTACGGGGAGGGGCACATCCGTCCCCTCGCTGGGACGACCGGCCGCAGGCAATGGGCCACCTGGTCAATAGCAGAGTAACCAGCATGACCCTCACAAGGCTGCTCAGCAGGGCCAGGCCGAAACAGATCCCATGAGAAACACCATCCCGTTCTGGTTGAATGGCTCGAGTGTGCTACCTCGATGCACCAGCGCGCAATTGGGGACACTAACCCAGTTATGATGCGAGGACATTGCCAGCGCGAGGGGGGCCTGGGAACAGAGGCGACACCCCCGCCCACCCGCCAGGGGCCTACCTGCTCCATTGTTGATCTGGGGCTGCCCTTTTGGGGGCTGCTGAGCCGTCTGTTCCTCAGTTCTTAAAAAGAGGGGGAAAGAGGTGAGATGTCTGTTACTTCAAAAAACAGCGCCGGGCCAGACCGCGGGGTGCCAGCGGTGACACAGGCCACGCGGTGTGTGGAACAGGGGGGAGAGCCTGGGCTTGCTGGGGATCCCGACTGCTCCTTGCTGCCTGTGACAGTAGCTGGCACCCACGGGGCTGCGTTCCTGATGGGCACACGTTTTATTTTTTAATAATTAAATAAATACATGTCATAAATATACAGGTCATTTCTTTCCTACTAATTTCAACACAGCTGCTTCTTTCTTCATCATTAAGCTCAGAATAAAGAGCTCCTGTGTCACAATCAGTCTGCCGATAAAACATTCTCACCAACATACACGTATAAGCGAGGCCAAGGCTGATGCCCGCAGCTGCCTGTACACAGTTCCAGCTCGGCCCATGCCAGCCACACCCTGACCACAGCTGTCACTGGGCCTCGGAGCTCCCTTGGGCTCTGCCTTCTCCTGGAGTTTCTGTCTACCTGTTGAATCCTGACCATCGACCAGGACTTCCAGCTGCAGGCACTGAGGGAGCTCGACCCCAGTGGGCAGCCCTCGGGAGGTGTCTATGACCTGGTTCTCTGTCCAGCCCACCCAGCCCATCTCACCCTGCACTGGCCTGGGCTACAGCTGTACTGCAGCTGCTCCTGTGGCCAAGAGCTCCCAGTCCCACAGGGACCATCGGTAGGCGTGGGCGGGGCTGGGAGGGGTGCAGCGGGTGCCCCTCCTCAGCACGGTGGTGAGGGAGAGGTGGTTTCTGCTCTGCTCACTTCATGTGATTGCACACTGACAGCGCCTGAACCAACCTGGTCTTGGGGCTGGTGACCAGTCACTGTGACCTGTAATTGCCACATTGTGCACAGAGTGCAGAGTGCAGAAGACCACCTGGACGGAGACAGTGGGGCTGGCACCGGTGAGGGCTGCAGCCTAACGGAGCAATGGATGGTGAGATGTCGAGATGGAAGTGGAGACCCCAAAAAGGGAGCTTCGGTCTTGGGGGGGTGCCAGGCCTTCACACCCTCTCGTCCCCAGACCTGGGTGGGGCTGCCCAAATGACCATCCACGGGAGATTTACTGGGAACAGGGGTGCGGGCCCAGGGCACGTAAGGAGACTCCAGGACCTGGGCTGGGTCTCCCTCTGTTCCTGGGCAGGTGGGACCAGGACACGCCATGAATAACCTGGAGGTTCTCCAAGAGGCCACTCAGCCAGGAGGCACTAAAAAGCTGGCTCCTGCCACAGCCTGGTCCAGGCAGCACCACGAGGACTGAATGGGCTCACTCGGGCTCACCGAGGGCATGGGGAGGGTCTCTGGTGGCCAGTGGGGCTTCCCAAGGGCTGTGGCTGGTGATGTCTGTTGTACAACTAGTAATGCACTGTTGGTCTCTGGCTGTGAGATTTTTCCCAGCACAGTTTCCTGCTAGAAACAAACGGGTGTTTAGATATTAATGCGCTGCAAGCTGCCTTCAGGGAGAAGGCTGGAGACCAGGGAACAGGTGTTCCAGGTGGCAGGAAACTTTACTCCTTCACATCATGCCAAACACAGAATACCTAACCACCTGTCACTACTGGACAAAAGGGACAGGCTGATCTATACAGTGCTACGGCAACACACTTTTTAAAAATTAAAAGGACAGAGACAGAGGGCAGACGGTGTCTCAGGACCTTCTAGCCTGGGCATTCCGGCAAGCAGCCCCACCATGGTCTCAGATGTGGGACGTGCACAGGGTGTCCGCGAAGCCCCGTAAATGCCACCTGACCCCATTTAATGGGGAAAAGGACTGCTGTATTTCTAACAACTACTGATTCTTCAAAATGGTTCCAAACGACTATGCTGATGTTTAATGGTTAACCAAACGAGCGTGGGGTAGAATGTGTCTGCCTTCCTTCTGGGAAGTCTAATGTTTCCTGATCCGCCATTACCTGAGGCCAAGCTGTGCCAAGGTGTGTGAGGGTGTTGCCCACTCGGCCGCTGACACACCCCGGGCTGGGCGGGGGCACTAGATGGTCCCCAGGGCCGCTTCCTCCCCCACATGCAGCCCCTGCAGCCAAGGCCCCAACACCACGTGCTGGTGCAACACAGAGCCGGTGGGCGCTGTCTGGTCCCCCTTAACCTTCCTAGCTCTGGGGCTGCTCGGGAGCTGGCGGCAGGCGGTTGGGGGCAGTGGGGGGAGAAGCTGTGGGAGGAGTGAACCCTAAGAAAAACAGGGTGGGGCACCTAGAAGGGCCAGACCACAGGCTGGTGGGAGGCAAAAGGGCAGTTTTCACGTGGCTTTCGGACCCATAGCTAGAGAAAGCCTTTGCCTGCTACTGAGTAGGCTTAAACCAAGGTGATTTTCTGGGAATTTCCTTATAAACCTAAATGTAGGTTTGTATGAATATAATTAGTGTTTCAATATCGCAGCTCACCTGCAGCTTCGATGTGTGCTGGTGTGGGGTGTGTGTGTGTGTGGTATGTGCATGTGGTGTGTGTATGTGGTGTGTGCGTGTGCGGTGTGTGTGTGTGCGGTGTGTGTATGTGGTGTGTGTGTGTGGTGTGTGCGTGTGCAGTGTGTGTGTGGTGTGTGTGTGTGGTGTGTGTATGTGGTGTGTGTGTGTGTGCGGTGTGTGTATGTGGTGTATGTGGTGTGTGCATGTGCGGTGTGTGTGTGTGGTGTGTGTGTGTGCGGTGTGTGTGTGTGCGGTGTGTGTATGTGGTGTATGCGTGTGCGGTGTGTGGTGTGTGCGTGTGCGCATGTGTGGTGTGTGGTGTGTGCGTGTGTGCACACGTGTGGTGTGTGTGCACATGTGGTGTGTGTGTGTGCGGTGTATGTGGTGTATGTGGTGTGTGCATGTGCGGTGTGTGTGTGTGGTGTGTGTACGTGTGCGGTGTGTGTGTGTGGTATGTGTATGTGGTGTGTGCGTGTGCGGTGTGTGTGTGTGGTGTGTGTACGTGTGCGGTGTGTGTGTGTGCGGTGTGTGTATGTGGTGTGTGTATGTGGTGTGTGTGTGTGTGGTGTGTGTACGTGTGCGGTGTGTGTGTGTGCGGTGTGTGTGTGTGCGGTGTGTGTATGTGGTGTGTGCGTGTGCGGTGTGTGGTGTGTGGTGTGTGCGTGTGCGCATGTGTGGTGTGTGGTGTGTGCGTGTGCGCGCACGTGTGGTGTGTGTGCACATGTGGTGTGTGTGTGTGCGGTGTATGTGGTGTATGTGCGTGTGTGATATGCATGTGTGTGTACGTGTATGGTGTGTGTACATGTGTGGTGTGTGTGTGCGCGGTGTGTAAGTGTGTGGTGCGTGTGCGTGTGTGATATGCATGTGTGTGTGTGTACACCCGCACGTGTTTGAAGGGGGACTGTCCACATGTGTGCCCACCCTGGACAGACCACAGCCACCCAGACCCACACCAGACCAGCACCAGGATGACAAGGGAGGAAGCTGTTCCTCACTATCCCCCTGTGCTCCTGCAGGCTTCCAGAAGGTTCCTAAATCCATCCCCTATGTGAAACAGGGAAGGGCCCCTCAACACTCCCTCAGTTCCACTTCCTTGGTCACAGCCTGCGGGTCCCTTCACTGCACACCCCGGCTGGTCCCCCAGGCAAAGCCGTGTGAGAGTGTAGTCCCTCGGCACTGCTGCCACCAAGGGGCTTTAGTGAAGGACTAGACCCCGGGGTGGGGAATGAAGACACTGACACTGTGTGGGGAGGGGACAGGAACACAGGCCGGCCTCGGGCCCGGTGAGCCACCCAGGGCCACCAGGGGGAGCTCGGCCTCCAGGCGAGGCAGGACACAGCACCTGCATCAGAGGGAGGCGCGTCAGGTCTCTGCGGCACCTCTGTGCACAATCCCGGCCCAGCTGGTCTCTGAATTTGAACAGGCCTTCACAGAAGGTTCGACACCGGGCAAGCTCTCGTTGAAGCCTGTGCACCAGCTTCTGGTCAGGCAGGGGCGCTGACCTCACAGCCCGGCTGAACGGCAAAGGGGACCGCTCCCTCCCGCAAGCCAGCTGGAGAGGTGACAGTGAGCCCACCCCAGGGGACCCCAGAAAGGCCCCACTGACCCACGGGAGGCCGCAGGGAGCCGGGGCTGTGCAGGACGGAGGCTTCGTTCACAGCCGCCAGAAAGCACCTGAGGAATCCTCAGAAATGCTGGAACAGCAGGATACAAACAACCCTGCCCCCGGAGAACCAGGTGCCACCAGGTTCTCAGAGCTGACAAGGAAAGGGTAGGACCCAAAAGGAAGGCGGAGTCTGGCCCTGATACACAACGGAGGCCGCTCCTTTCCACAAGCGGCACAATGTGCAGCACTGTCGCCAGAGTGTGGGCCACACAGAGAGGAGTGGTGCCCTCAGAGCCTAGAGCCTAGGCAGCACGTCCCCCATGGAGAAGCCAGCGTCCGGCCAGGGTGTCTCAGAGGCGGTGGTGTGTGCCCCAAACTGGTGAGGGCCATTCACTCAGGTCACAGAGGGCTGTGGACAGGAGTTGCCACCAGTGGGTGACGCCGGAGGTGGGGGGCTGGCAGCCCAGATGGGGGGT